TACAAAGCTGCTGGATCTCCTCTGAGTTTTATTGCTTGTGTCCATGTCTGTGTTTACTACTGAGTTCTGATCTAAAATTATCTGTTCACTCCGAGTAAAAATGACCATCATAATAATCAAATGGAAAAAAAAATGATCAAATAACCATCTTCCTGGGAGGCTTTAAGTCTTTTTTCTCGACTATGTTTTCCTCATGTAGTTACCTTTGTATTTTGGTAGGGGTGCTTGTTAGAGGGAAGAGGAAAAAAAAAAAGTTCAGACAAACCCTAACACTTTGCCTATACCTTCACTAATAATGAACAATTCTCCCTTTTTTTATGCAAGTTTATGTCCTGTATCTTGTCATCCTTGAGATCTACTGCCAGGATGATCCCGGAGGTGAATAGACTATGTTACAAGAGCATGTGAAAATAGCCTTTATTTGTGAAACTAAACACACTGAGAAGAGGATTCAGCAGCCTTCGGAGCGTGCTGTGTTGCAGGGTTGTGTACTGCAGGAGTGAGGCAACAGAAGAGGGGAGGGGGGTAAACTGAGACCATGAAACGGTGGAACAGAAAAACAAGGCTGGAAACCCACTGTTCAGAAATGAAGACAGGAGCCTGCAGGAATGTCTAGTACCATCAAAAGCATTTGGGTTCTGGAATAACGTCCCAATAGGAACAGTTTGGGGAAAGCAGATTAATTTTCAGATGAAGTTGCATTTTCAAGAGATAGTAAATAGGACGACATAATATGGCTGACTTGAACTAGCAAGAAACTAGGAATAGCAACTAGAAAATCCCTTCAACCCTTGTATTCTTACTGGCTTTGGTGAAAGCTGCTGTAGTTGCTTCTTTCATTGCACAGAACAGACTTGGCAACTTTAGGTGAGCTTAATGCTCCAATTTAACTTTAATTAGTTGTTTGTGTTTTTTTTTTTAAAGACTCTTCTAGATTTATCTCTGAGATCTCACAAGTGGAGATACTTAGATTGGGCCAGTGTTTGATTAGGAGGTTCAGAGTGACCAGTAATTTGGTTGGAACTGATCGATGACTGAAAAGGACACCTTGAGGACATATTAAACTAAGATCCAAGAGCTATGGCTAGGCAGCACTGAGGATCTATTATTTGAGAGCCATGACACTGAAGTTAATATATTGTTTGTTGTGTTTGCAATTGGACGTGTAGTTCCATTTCATTTCATATCCTAAGTTATTAGAAGCGTTTCAGCATCCTTCAGATTTGGTTGTGTCTCAGTTAAGTACTTCAGTTGCATGGAGAATGATGGTGTGAGCCTGCAATGATAACTGGATGAAAATGACTTTGAAATTTTAAGAAGAAAAAGAATCCAAACATCCCCTTTAAATGTTTGTAATAGTAGTGACCACGAAGTCATTTCTTCAACTTTGAATTACAATTTTAATTCCAATGTTTCAAAACATTTGTGTGCTGTAGAACACAGCCTCTTAACTTGTTCATCTGAAGGATATAACTTGTACCCTCTCAGAGTGCTGCAATGTACATAGAGATGATTGGGAGCAGAAAGTGGAATTTCTGTTGTGTGAATTGGTTCTTATTGCTAACATCCTTGTATGCACAAGGAAGAAAAATGTTGTCATCTGGAAAAGAATTCAAAATATCGAAAGATTACTAGGGGTTTGTTTTAGCTTTATACAGACTGCATACTTCACAGTCAAATAAAAGCATGAGTCTCTAATCTGTTTGCACTTGTGCCACATGGATTTCAGCAACTTGGAAAGATTCTACTTTATATTCAGCTTGCATGCATGCAGTTGACAGAATAAGATGTCAAGCAGTAGAAAGACTTCTAATGTGTTCATTACACTAAGGCGTACAGGAGAGCACTGAAGCCATTTTGCAATTTACTATCCTTCAGTTGCAAAGAAGTCAGGGAGCTGGTTGACGTTTCTGATCTATTGCTGGATGTTGTTCTTGTATTACTTGATTTAATCGAGATGGGCATTGCAAGTGGGTCAGAAGACTCTGATTGGTATTTGGTATGCAAAACAATACCTAGTGCAATTGATTTTGAAGTTGCAGTGCTGCAAGTTTGGAAACAAAGTAGTTTTTTTTTTTCTATAAGATGACTTTCCCTTATTTGCTTTGATGCTTGGCTTTTTTAATCTTTTAGTTTGTGTTCCCTCCCTCAGTCCTTTGATGTCTACCTTTTTAATACCTCTGAATCATGCGTTCTTGTATTTTTTAGGTAACTATCCAAATTTTTGCAAGGCACGCAGCAAAGATTTCATCACCAGAGCATTGTTGCCCACCTGATTAGTTTGCTGTGCTCACTTTAGCCTGATAGCCTTGAATAAAATCCTTTCCCTATTCAGTGCTGATGAATATTACTATTTCTTCTTGCTGCTTCATATTTCCTCCTTCACACTATTGATGCATATTTAATAGGAACAAGATTAGTCTTAATACCAAAGCCTGTGGTGATGTACATCAGATCAAAGTTCTGAAATAGTCCATGGATGAATATGATTTTGTTCCTAATTAAAACAATTAGTTTTACATGCTGCTTTTCAATGAAAATTTAATGTGTGAGCTCTTGTATCAATTTAATTTCATTATACCAACATATTTACTGTGCTAGAGTAGAAGTTGAGTCAGTATTTCCATTATAAGATCCTACTTTACAACTGTAAAATTAGTATTGTACTCTTTAGGGGGTTATAATCTGGCTGTAAAAATTCATTTAGGGCAGAAACTTGGCATGTAAGGTTTAGGCAGCATATATCTTGAGGAAAAAAGAAAAATGTAATTTTGGAATACAATGCATTTGTAGATGGATTAAAGTTATGAGGGCAGAGAAGAATGTTAACTTAAACACACACTTTGATTTACAACTCAATTTCTGAAACTTTTAAACCAAAAAACTCCTAAAGAAACAGCACAGAAAATCGTTTTCTTGTGTCACTGATGCTTCATATAGACCAATTCAGAAGGGATGGGCTGGGGGGTGGTGGGAAAGGGGAGACAGCTTCTTAGTTGTATATAAATTTTTCTTCAGCTATACTTCAGTCAGCTCAAAAGCACCTATTTCTTCTTTTCACATTTCTAGTTAATATATCTATTTCAACATGGTGTTAAGATTGTAACACAGAATAGTTGGTAAAACTTTTCAATGACAAGGATTTGTAAGTCTTTTCAAAAACTGAGGCATAAACCGCTATGTCTCTCCTAATCTTTTACATAAGAAGGTATTGGAGGCCATCACTTTTCCCATAATTATATTTCCTTTTTTAATACCATATTTTTTGAACAGGAAACTATAATTAGAATTTAGGTTTGTTTTTTTTTTTTAAACTGACCTCGTATGTAGGTAAGGAGATAATGTCATCCCTTCAGTTCCTCATTGGGCCCTGAATTAAGGTGGTATTTCAACAGTATTTTCAGGAACACAGGCCAAGGTACTTGGGTACTTATCTCACCTTACTAATTCTTAAAATACTTTTCTAGGATATGAAACGGTTTTGGAAATAAGCCACCTTTTTAAAACTTGTATTAAAAATTAAATACTAATACTTGAATGTTTTGAGTGTTAGCAACTTGCAATAAACTTTTAACATCACCACCTCAAACAGCTAGAGCTGTCCCTTTGACATGTGTTTGACAGACACGTAATGATGTTGCTTAGAACATGGACAGTTTGAGTATGGATGGCTTGCTTTGTGTGTTTCTGAGGTACAGCTCAGGTTGGAACTTACATCCAAGGGATTCCCCTCTGGTGTCTCATCTTTAGTAGGAATGGACAATTATTAAAGTGGCCAACAGCCACACTTTTCCTGGAGCACTTGTCATGCCTTTTATTTCCCTAAACCCAGGTTCTCCATCCCTTCACTGCCTTAACAAACATCTTGCCTCTATAAATCTGCCCTTCTTTCCTCCCCTGGAGATGCTGCCCTGCCTGCATTTCTGCGATGGCTGGGTAGTATGCATTGCAGCAGACAGGTGAACTAGGAGCAACTGTAGGACAAGGTGGGGGTGGTCCCTGTATGTTATTGCCCAGGACTAACATCCTCTGTGTTCTGGGCAGCTGAAGCCCAGACCATCAGAAGAAAATCTGAGCAGCCAGCAATTGAGGTGTGCTTCAACTGTTTGAGAGCTTTATGTGGTTTCACGTGCTGTGATTTGGTTAGCCTTCTTCAAAGTCACAGATAAAAATCTCAGTAATTTCCAAATTCAGAAATAGCTTGTGACATAAGTGAATTTAAATTGCTTTCATATGCCAGATGTATCCTTCTGCTTCAAACAAATCCATTCTTTCCTTGAGCTCATGCAAATAATGACTTATTAAGCCTTGTTATGCTACATCACTGTGGTGGTAATCTTTACTTCAGTGTTTTGAAACCCAAGCTCAACAGGTGTTTCCTCCACGCATGCATTAAATTATCTGTTCTTGCTCTTGATGTATTATATGAATTAGTGATTCATTAAACTATGTTTTCAGAATCTTTACTGCATGGAAATTTTTCAGCCTCTTTTGATGTTTATACTAGTCTTATTCTCTAGAATAATATGACCCCAGTCATAGTCCATGGTTACAGGATGTATATGGTCTTTCTATGCAACAGCCCTGTAATGCTCTCAGCAAATATCTCCTACCCATAAAGAAAATCACCAATTCAGAACCGTTGGCAGCCTCCCCCTAAGGAAAGTGTATGACGTGGGCAAGCAACCCATATCCCAGTAACTTAATATGTTGTAATGTTGCCTCAGCCATGAAGACTTAAATTAATGGTTTTACTTTACAAGATTTTAAACATGTATTTTATTGTAATTCAATTTCCCGTGCCTTTTTCCATCTGTTAGATGGGGAAGCAAACCCGAAGAGGGGTGTTACCTTCATTAATGTCACACAGACTGTCATTGGGAGAGTTAGGAATGCACCTAATGTGTTTTTTTAAATAAATATAAAAGGAAGAAAGAACAACCACCCAAAACTGCCACGTTAATACTTGCTGTAACGCTCTTATGTATTTCTCTTTACAGGTGACTGTTACAACTATTGGCTATGGGGATAAAGTACCTCAGACCTGGATAGGAAAAACCATTGCATCTTGTTTTTCAGTATTCGCAATTTCATTTTTTGCACTACCTGCGGTAGGTTCTCTTGTGCTTTTGCTGGCAATTTGTTTCAACTTGTTCGTCCTCAAAGGAAACTTTTGTTATTGATTCTTTAATCTTTCATTTAACCTGATGTTATGAAAGCTTTGTATTAAAGTTTTATATTGTAGTTAAAATATATGTAGCTTGTAGAAGCAAAAGAGCTTTTATAAGTAGCTAAAAAAAGGAATTATGCAGTGTTTATTGTATACAACACTAGATTTGGTATGTATTTGAAAAAGAGTTGTTTAATTCAAAATACTTTTTCTGCCCATCTCAGAAGTGTAAAGGAAATTATTTCTCATGCTAATTACTTCTGGACTCAGTGACTTAGTGGTGTGTTGGCTTTTTCAGGCATTCGCTCATACTTTACTCAACTGATTAGGTCCAGAGTGAACTGCAGAGTTCTCATACACATCCTTCTTCTAGCAAAGCTGGTGAAAAGGTGTCACTGGCAGAGACACAACAATAAGCAGCCAGGGACACTGATGCAGCTCTTTGCCAAATTAGCATCTGTCCATGGCCAAAGTCCCATTTTCAAAAGTGGCATAGTGCTGAGCTTTTAAAGGTATTATGGCACTTTTCTTGCACTGAAAACAGGGTCCCAAGTACTTTCTATCAGGAAACAAGGCACTTGAGTACCAAGGGTAAATTAAAAATCAGCAAAACCTGGACTGTGGTTTGAAAACCCGAAGTATTCAGTGCCACAGGTAGTTAAGGGATTTTTTTCACAAATTTAGCAATACTCTTGAATTGTTCTGTTAAAATGTTTATTTTTCAGCAAGTTTTTCAGTTCAATGACACAAACAGTTGTGTTAGCAGATGTCTGTGTAGTTGAGGCCAGGAAGTGGTGGGGATAAGCACAGGGTGAGTGAGAAGAACACTTTTATGCCAGTACTGTCAGAAAAATTCTTCACAGCATGAAATAGTGACTATTAAAATTGTAGTGGCTTTTTAAAATTAGTCGCTTACTTTAAAAGTACACAACCTTTTTCAGAGGAGGGTAATTAAGTGTAGATTTTTTAGACTCTCCAGTATCAGTTTGTCTTTAAAGCATATTCTTCCCCTCTCCTCATTCTAATCTCTTTCACATTTATTCCTTGTTAGAAGAGAAATCTGGTAAATGAAATTATCTATAAGAAAAATGCCAAAAGCTACTATTTTGACTGAAGAGTTTGGGTTGTTTTTTTTTTTTTTCCCCTCAGACTTGAATACCAGCAAAGATGTTTCATAAATAATGATGTAGCAGCCCACCTTCATAGCAATGCTTTTATGTTTACCTGTCAGATTTCCCTAGTCATTTGTAGAAGTAAAACAACAACAAACATCCCATTATCAGTGTTTGATTATTACTGAATTAAGTTGTTCTTGTGAGTTGACCCAAGGGGGAAATACAGGGTTTGAAGCTCTAGCAGTAAATAGTTGATCGGTAGTAACTATCGCACACTGCCTTGTTGCTATTTTAAATAAGGGGAGCTGGCTGAGACCCCGGGCAAAAGTAGTAGTTGTGGCTAAACGCAACTGGTATGGGTCCTAGATCTGGCAAAGATCCTTCACTTCCCAAATAAGTGATGTTTGAACATTAGTAACTCTTTGGTCTTTACTAAAGGAACATCATAGGAAGGGCCTTTCCTGTTCCTTTCAAAACAGTTGATGATTAATACAGTTGTTAGAGGTTGAGCCAAGATCGCTGACTGCTCTGACACCTTGACTACCATATGTAGAAAATGAATTATGCTTTTGTTGAGTAGGTGTAGTCATGTAAGCAAATTTATAGAAGATCTCATTTTTATCTGTGTTACTAAAACCTCTGTTAAATATGTTTATAGCTATGCAAACGACCACATAAGTGACTCACTCTGTACTTAATTTTGGACTTAACAGTTATACTATATTCAGAGGCTGTTTTGGATTGTACACCGTGCAGTGCTATTAGTCCATGTCCCTTGTCCTGAGAGTGGATTAGATGGCCTTGTGTTGAACTCAAAGTCCTGACCTTTTTGTAACACTCCTTTTCCTCCTCTTTGTCCTCCTGTCCCAGCACGAGTTAACACACGGAAATAGATATTACCATGCTGCAGTTAAAAAGTCTTTCTTGTGATCTGAATCATGCCAAGCCAAAGCTTTATTTCTCATAAAAATGAAGTTAAGCACATCAGGTTAATATTTCTCCCTATTCTGTCATTCCTCTGCACAAACATTTATGAGGCTTCTAAAGGATATGAAATATCATTTCTGCTCACTTTTCAACGTTTGAGTCCAGCTGACTTAATAAGGCTTTGGATCAGGGCATGATAGCATTCATAGTTTGTTTCAACAAGTAATGCTAACTGAGCCTAAAAACTTAACAGTATTAAGTCATTTCCTCTAAATAATTAGTCGGGTTTTATGATGCTGAATAGAAGTTTATTAATACGACATAATTTGGCAAGCTTATGTGTGGTTTACCCCCCCCCCCTTTAAAAAAAAAATTAAATCTGTGTTTTCTTTCTTCCCACAGGGAATTCTTGGTTCAGGCTTTGCCCTAAAGGTACAACAGAAACAAAGACAGAAGCATTTCAACCGTCAAATTCCAGCTGCTGCCTCTCTCATACAGGTACTGAGTTCCTGCGTTTTGCAATCTACCATTTCTTTCCATTTATAGGTTGGGTTTGTTGGTTTTTTTTTCAAAACTGTTGGCAGTATTTCCATGCCTGACTCCCATTAAAAATTGTATAGGAGTTACAGAAACAAGTCTTTTAAATGGTTTTGGAAATCCCACCTTTAATGTAAACTAATGAGGAGAAAAGTTCACTCCCAAATCAGTGCAAACTGATTTAATTCAGCTGGTTAAAATCAAAACTGAAGGCTATCCTGTAGTTATTGAACAATTTACCTGGGAAAATTGTTATGAAGTACTATGCTTGCAGTAGTGAAAAACAGAGAGGAGCCTTCATGTAAAATTGTACTTTCCAAAAATACATTGTTGCGTATAAAGACAAATGTCAGATATGCTTCATTTTCCTTGGTACAAATAAATTCTTAAAATTCTCAAATTCAGGATAATTAAGTCAGAATGTTAAATAGGAGAATGTTGTCTGATCTTTTCAGCTTGGGAATAGGTGACTGGGAGTGACCAGGATTCTGCAAAATCAGTCTTTTCATGTAGGATAACACACAGGCAGAAAAAACTTGATCCCTCCTGTTAAAAATACAGTTGCTGTTCATTGTCAGTAAGGTCAGTGAGATTTCACCCTGGAGAAGTAGTAATATTGTTTTATTCTAGGTTTTTCCAGCTTTTCCTCCCTCATTCAGTATCTGCATGTAGCTTTAGAAGCATAGGGATCAAATTTAAAAGCCGTATCATTTTTGCGTTCTCATATGACTTATTTCTCTAGCTTCATGAGTGAATGTGGATTTCCAGGTCAGGCTCTTTATGGAAACAGTAGCTAACTGTAAAGTTTATGCTTGAAACTAAACAGTCCCAGAGTTAATGTGAAAAAGGTTTAAATTTAGGGCTCTGGTTATAGCCAGAGATTAGCCAAAAATCTTCAGACTCGGTGTGTTTCGCTTGGATTGCGTGATCAGAAAAAGGTATGATTTTGCAAAGAACGGATTTTTAGTGTTCCCACTCATTCTTTTGGGAAATCAACCCCAAATTATTGGGAAGCCTGAAACTGCATGTTCAGAATGCCGTACTTGGTTCAGTCTGAAATGTTAAGTAAGAGTAAAGGATAGACAATGAGTTGCTGACTACCTGTTCTTAATAGCCGTAATTATGATTTACTACTAGTCTTGGACTTCTGAAGGCCCAATTTAATAAGTGCTGTACAAATAACTTATGAAAAGATTATTCTTAAATCAAGAAGTTTATGAAAGAAGTACAAGACAAGGCAACAGCTGAAATGAGTGATACTTTTTTCCTGTATTCCTTGTTTTCTTCTACAGGCCAGTTGTTTCTTCCAGTATCCCAGTAACCGTGGTGGGAATTACCCGGTGATTGTCTGATCCTTTACTTTACAGCTGCTGTCTGTTTTCCTCTGTCATTCTGCCTTGCTTTGTTTCTTTCATCTAGTGTTTCCTGACTTTTCCCACTTTAGATTTTGTGTGTGTATATGTGTGTCCTTTTATCATGCCATGCGTAGGTGAGGATCTGCCTTTTTAATTTGGAGGCTAACTGTTAATCAACTCTGATCATTGCGGCCTTCCAATACCTGAAGGGGGCCTATATGAGAGATGGGGACAGACTTTTTAGCAGGGTCTGCTGTGACAGGACAGGGGGTAATGGTTTTAAACTAAAAGAGGGTAGATTTAGACTAGACATAAGGAAAAAAATTTTTTACAATGAGGGTGGTGAAGCACTGGAACAGGTTGCCCAGAGAGGTGGCGGAAGCCTGATCCCTGGAGGCATTCAAGGTCAGACTGGATGGGGCTCTGAGAAACCTTATCTAGTTGGAGATGTCCCTGCTCACCGCAGAGGGGTTGGACTAGATGACCTCTAAAGGTCCCTTCCAGCCCAAATGATTCTATGATTCTATGTACACATCTGAGAGAGCATGCAGTAGTGTTTTATCTCTGGTTGGTCTTGTTTCCTGTTTTGGGAAGGGAGGATTGCATTTGCGTTTTGGCTCCTGGTTAGCCATTGGTGCTGATCCCTCATGCTCTCAGTGTTGTTTCTTCATATGAATATAGCCCTACTGCGCACGTCACAATTCCCACCCA